GCCCAATTATGCAGCTCCTTCCGAGGGTCACCTGTCGCTTAGCCATGAGGGCGTCACACACAGGACACCGACACGGGAAAGACCAAGAGCAGAACACCTGGGAACTCCTCCTGCGGTCCGCCTCTAGCCGCTATCCCCTCGACCTGTGATCATGAACCCAGAACTGTGGTGTCCCATGAGGCTTGGCCAGAGTCTGCAGTGCCCTGGCCAGCCGTGGCCCCTCTGGCAGTTCCTCACGAGGGTTGGCTGTGTGGTCCCTGAGCCGGCGTGCCCTCACTGTGCTTCACCGTCCACCAGCAGGACAGCTTGGCGGCTTCAGGGCGAGGCTCCTGGGTGTCGGGCTGTGGAACGGTCACGTCCAGGGTCTCGTTCAGTTTGTGCAGGATGAATGTCCCAGAGTCGGCTGGGTGTGTGAGACGTCACGGATTCTGTGTTTGGTGACAGCAGCACTCTGGTGGCCACCCCGTCTGCAGGGTTCTCGGGTCCAGTGTGTCCGTACCCATAGTAACAGAGAGCCCTGGTGCCGGAGGCCAGCTGCAGCCGAGTTCGGAGCTCGGGAAGGGTGCGTGGAGTCGGCGATAAGACACGGACACCGTCACTCGGTGCCCCTCGCTCCAGCTCAAGGAGAAGCTGTCCTTATTTACTCAGGCACCATAGGCCTCTGCGCAGTCTTTGATTGTTCTATTTTTACTTCATGACTAAGTGGGTGTACACAGATGTTTGATTTGTTTTTTATTTCATGATCAACCAGGTGCTCTTATAGACAATTCTGTAAGTTACTATAATCAGTTTCTTTAAAGCAAGCCGTCATTCATTCTTCAGAAGTGACCACTAGGTGACAGCCAGATCTCCAAGGCCAAGGCACAGATGGTTGCCTACTAATCAGTAAAACATTCCTACTGCATTTTATTTTCACAACTTTATCTATCACTTAGTGGGAGAAATACAACAAAAGAGAAAAAAAAAATAAAGATCCAAGGCAAAAAGTTTCAAACACTAAATTCCCCTACAACTACAGGCTCTACAACCTCATAAACAGTCAAACAATAATCCAAAGTCTATATCTATGATGTTAATAAAATCTCCCCATATTTCCTCTAGTTAAGAAATTATGAAAGCAGCTAAAACAACTACATTTTCTATGCTCTAAAGAGTCGCAAGGACAGGCTAACCTTTAAGGTTGCTGTAACTATATTTTTTTGCCATAGCAGTTTCCGCTCATTCTTCCATCACTTCCATTAGTTTGTAAAATTCTTTTCAAGCCATTTCCCAGAAGGCGTGCTGCACGTCTGGGCCAGACTTCAGGGCAATGGGCAGGCACACAGTAAGGTGCCTGGAAACAGCACGGGCTTAGTTGTACTCCTGTGCGCAGTTAAAGGCCCACTCACAAGACAGATCAATAAATTAACTCCCAAGCTCATGTTGGTTCCAAAAGCCATCCCACAGGGGCAGACAAGCCTCGGCAGGTTACAGAATTCTTAGTGGGGTGCTTGAGTGTCCGTGCAACTGGGGGTGAGACTGCGTCAAGGGGCTGGATATTACATTGTCACTTTAATTGGCATTTCCGTAACGGCAAATGATATTACAGGTGGTGTTGGTGTGCTGTCTGCTTTTAACAAAAGATGTCCAAAACACTCTGGAAGCTAAAATTGTTGAAAGACATTTTTGAAAAGCTCTAACTAGATGCAAAGATGCCCCACGTCTGTGGACGGGAAGACTTCGTGTTGTGAACGCATGTGCTGAGTGTGGGTAGATAGATTCAGCAAAATTCCCAACAACATCCCTACAGGGCTCCGGCAAAAACAGACACACCGATCCTAAAATGCGGGCAGAAGCACAGGGCCCCGGAGGAACCCAAACAACCTGGAACGAAGTAGAGCAAAGCCAGGAGGACTGGCGCGTCTCGACTGCGAAACACGCTGCGGAGTTGGGCTAATCAGGATGGTGCGACAGAAGGGCAGACATGAGGCTGTGGAGCCTGAGTCTGGCCTGATGGGGGTGGAGGTGATGAAGGGAGCACATCCGGCCCGAGAGGACTGGAGGCTGGGTGGGACGAGGCGGGGTGCAGTCCTCAGGCACACAGCCCCGGTTCCACTGTGGGGCTGGCTGCTCTGGCCCTGCGCCTTCCCGTGAGGCTGCTGGCCGGGTTGGCGGGGTCAGCAGATGCCTGATGGGGGACAAACCCCACCCAAGGGGGAAGCAATGCCCTGCAGCATTGGCAGCAGGGTCCCTGCTCCAGCTGGCACCCTGTGAGCTGCTGTTTCTTTCTTTGCTCTCCCTCTTGCCCTCTGCAGTTGAGGGCGCCCTCTGTATTCTTGAACAGGCAGGCCCCTCTCTGGGGCCCTCTCTATTCTTGAATTGGAGCTCCCAGAGGGCTTCCGACCATGCCACCTCCACTCTAGGCTGAGGCTCTGGGCCCCAGCAGAGGGCCACATCTGGCACAGGCACAGCTCGAGCACAGTTCCCTGCTGGGGACACCTGGCACACCTGGCAGGATGCTCCTTTATTAAAACCCAGGGGCATCTGCATCAACCCCGGCATGCACAGACAGAAGCAGCGGGCAGCACCGCTTAAAACACACAGGTGTTTCATCGGTTAACATTGTCAGTAACAAGACTGGTTCTCGGTTTGCCTATCGGTGAGACCCACCTGCACTGGGGCGTCCTTCTAGGCTGGCCTGCAGCGGGGCCACGTACAGGCGTCTGGGGTAGGAGACCTGGCCTGCTGGGGTGGCCGAGTCCCTTGCCATGGCCATGTGCTCCCCCACCCCTACCCCTGGCTATTGCACACAGCCCAGACTGGCTGGCTGTGACACATTCCACCTGCTTGACGATGTAAGTGGGGAGGAAATAGGAAGAACCAGTGGGAAAGAGGAGGTGCAGCTGTGCCAGGCTGCCAGCTGGGCACCCGTGGTGGCCACATCTCAGATCTCAGGTGGCTTATGCCCAGGTGTCCCCAGGAGCCCGTCCTTGGGTGGACACTGTGACAGTCCTGTTTCAGTCCATCAGGGGTAAATGTATTAGGGTTCTGGCATGAAGATAAGAGCCGTGGCTGTCAAACCTGTCCGCCCCCCTCCTCAAGCCACTGGGGCTGCCGCGTTCCCAGCTGGGCCCTGGGAGTGGAAGGCATATAGCTGGTGTCTGCACGCATGGTGAGTGAGTGCGTGGGTTTTCTGGGACGACCCAACCCCTGGCTGCCCGACGACCATGCGGGAGACTCTCCAGCCCCCACAGCTGTCAGCCATGGACACAGGGATGCTGCGAGAGGAGCCAGCGAGCCTGGGCTGGTGTCTGAGTCACAGGGGAGTGTGCACGAGCAGCCCAGGAATGAGGGGGCAGTGGCCAGGCCAGCTCCCCTCCCCGCCCGCCCAGATACCACCTGGCCCTTGCCAGCTGGGTGGGCACCACTGGGAACCCCTGAGGTCAAGTCCAACCCTGGGCTTTCCCAGCAGATGAGTGTCCACCAATGAACAGATGGCTGGGGGACCTGGGAATTCACCTCTGGTTGGGGGCTGGAGGCAGCAGCCATGTGAACAGGCAGCATGAGCTGCTGGCATCTTGGCTTTGAAGCTGAAGGCTTCAAAGAGCTGAAGGCTCTTCTGCTGATTGGGTCTCCTTCCCCAGGGCTGGGGGGCCCCAGGGCTGGGGGGTGGGTCCTGTGCCAGAGAGGAAGGTGTCGGGGTGCGGGGGAGCAGGCCCCGTGGCCCCGGGGTGCGGGGGTCCTGTGCCAGAGAGGAAGGTGTTGTCACCTCACGCACAGGACCTGCCTCCCACCTGGTCCTGAGGCGTTGGAGCTGCAGGAGGGGCCACGAGTGTGCAGGGTGTGCCTGCACAGTGCTTGTGCACACGAGCACATGGGCACCTGTATGCGTGCACACACAAGCTCACTGCACACGAGTGCCTGCCCATGCAGGCACATTTACACGAATGTGCATGTGTGTGGAGGGTGTACATGTACGCATGACTGCAGTAAGGACCAGGGCAGGTGCCAGCTGGGCAGCAGGAAGCTCCCGTGTTGGTGGGAGGGTTGTGAGCCGGTGAGTATGGCTGCTCCTGGCTCTGTGCAGATTCCGAGCCGCCTGGCACTCACACCAGCCCAGGAGGGTGTGAGGGCATAAAGCTGCTTGTTAGGAACACTGTTCCCAGTGGGAAGGAGGCCTGGCACCCCCAGAGCTGGTTACACACCTGGTGCTCCGTGGAGGCACCGCCCCCTCTGCCTGTCATTGTCACAGCCTTGGTGCCAGCCAGAAGCTCCCAGGAGAAAGTGAGAGTGGGCGGCCTGCGGAGCCAGCTCCCATGCCTGCTCTTGGACCTGCTGCTGCCTGCACCTGGAACGCTGGTGGGCATGGGCACGGGTGCAGCAGAAAGGGGCAGGGTGGTCCTGCCGGGGTTCAAGGAGCCCTGCTTCTGCCAAGGGTCAGGGCCACATGCACTTGCCTTAAATTGCCCTTGAAGGGGGCAGCCACATGGACACAGCCCTGGAGCTGGCTGTGTTGGAGTAAGCATGCCGCCTGGTCCTCACCGAGACTGTCCAAGCATGGGCTCTGCTGCTAGGCCTGTGCGAGGCTTGCTGCTGGCACTGCTGGCACCAGTGGGGCACCTGGGCAGGCCCCAAGCCAGCAGAGCCTAAGCTTCTGAGCCCAAGAAATGAGAGCCTATTTGGGGGGATGGAGACGATAAAGAGCCAGGTGGGACGTACAGTACTCTACCTTCTGGAATTTTCTGTATCCCTATAGGGTGGGGCGGCACAGCTTGGGTCCTTGTACCCTTGGTGCCTGCCAAGCTCCCCCCAGCTCTCTGCAGGTGGCTTGGGCCTGGGATGTCTCATCTGGGTTCACCCCCAACCCAAGCTGCGCGAGGCACTGCGTCGAGTGACCCTCTCTGTCCTTCTGTCTCTCTCCCAGCTCGACGCTGGCCCTGGCCCCCGCCCGGTGGGGACTGGAGGACTGGTGTGCGCGCGCGTGCCGGCGGGCTGGGTCTGATGAGGCAGGAACACAGAGCCAGAGTGGATACGTGTTTATTGAGCCGGGCAGACCCGGGTGTGACTAACACTGTGGCAGGACTTGTGTCTACACTGGCAGCATGGGGACCCATGTGGTCACCTCCCGGGCGTATGCTGCTGCGTGAGTACCCCGGGGCAGCAGAGTGGGTGACCACAGCAGGTGGGCAGATGTCATGGGCACCCAGGTTCTGTGGAAGTCCCACCTCGAAGGGGACAGATTTCTAGAACCTTCTGCTCAGGGTGCCCAGCACCCTCAAATCCCTGTCCACAAGTACCCACGCATTTGTTTCTCTCTTGCCCGACGGGGAAGCTCCGTCGACCCCAAGGAGGGCCCTGGAGCGTCGTTCACTCCCTCCTCTGGCCAAAGTGGGGCCTGCACCAGGCAGGTGCTGAGTAGAGAAGAGCTCTGGGCAGTGCCAGTGGAGAGCTCAGGGGGATGGTCCCCGCCGAAAGGCATCAGAGAGAGGCTCCGGGGATGGAGCCAGGGCCCCGGGCAGGGCAGCAAGTCCTACCCGGAGTCAGGGTCTTCATCCCCCTCCCCTAGCAGGGGGCCTCTCCCTGGGTGCCTGTTCCCCACTGTACACCACTTCCCCAGGAGCTCGGCACATTGCCCCCTGCCCCCCCCGGGCACGACAGAGCTACCCCGGGGTTACTGTCATTACAGCAACAAATGCCACAGGGACCAAGCTGGCCGTGCTCGCAAGGCTCCAGCATCCCCGAAGGAGGAGAGTGCCAGCAAGACCCACCCACCCAATCAAGAGCACAGAAGGAACACGGTGAATCACACGTGCGCACGCACACGGACGGGCAGTGGACCGAGGCCTACTGGCTCGGGGCTCCGGGTGCGTCGTCTGCGACCAGCGAGCGGCCCTGTCGGGAGCCCCCAGCCCAGAAGGGACTGACTATTGCTTGCGGCTGGGGGGCTCTGCCTCCTTCCCTGCCCCCTCCCAGCTCGGGAGTCCGAGGAGGAGTCTCTGGGCCGCCAGGGGCCCCCCCGCCGTCCACCGCCACCGCCTTGGGCCTCCCTGGAGATGTCGCTCTTCCTGGAGGCTGCACCAGCTGCTGTGGGTCTCACCTCCCCCATCCAGAGGCAAAAGGATTTTCTGAGGGGAGAAGCAGAGAGAGTGTGTCACAGGGGGTCTGCCCGGTCATCCCAGGGTCTCCTCGCAGTGCCAGGCTGCGGAGACCCTGAGCTCAGCCACAGACCCTGGGGCAGCAGCTGCCATCTGGGGCAGCACGGCAGGAAGACACGGAGAGATGCCATGTGCGTGCTGTAACTGCGGGTAGTTACACAGACAACCCAACAGAGATGACAGGCTCGTCTCCCCCTAGGCTCCTGTCCCCTGGGCACTAGGTGCCACCTCTGGGGCCATGTGTCCACCCCTGCCCTTGGAATGGGGCGACAACCTAATTGGGTGTAGGATAGAGTTTATGTTTCTGATTGTCCTCGCCTTGCTGACGGGTGCCTGTGGGGACACGGAATGGCCTCCCAGCTGTCATCGTAGGGGAGACGGGCATTTTTCAGTAGAAACAAAGCATTAAGTCTCCTCTCCTGCGATAATCGTGCAGAGAACTTCCGGGTCAGCAATAGAATCTCCCCGGCGGCTGGAAGACCTACAGCCCAGCAACGAGACAGACAGCAGGGACGCCAGGAGAGCTACGCAAGCAGAGCCGAGCGCATCACGCGGGCAGAAGGCCCAGGCTGCCTGCACGATCAGCAGACATTAAAGGGTGCCTCCACTCCCACTGGAGCCATTCAGACAGCCTCGTGCAAAAGGACACGCAGGTGATTAAAAAAAAAAGTCGTGCGGGGCCAGTGCAGGACGGAACACGTTAAGCCTCTGCCTGCAGTGCCAGCATCCCACACAAGTGCCAGTTTGAGTCCCGGCAACTCCACTTCCGCTCCAGTTCCCTGTTCAGGACTTGGGAAAACACTGGAGGACAGTCCAAGTGCTTGGGCCCCTGCATCCACGTGGGAGACCCAGAAGAAGCTGCTGGCTCCGGGTCAGCTCAGTTCCAATCTTGGCAGCCGTCTGGGGAAGTAAAGCAACGCAGGGAGGCCTGTCTCTCCTCACTGTAATTCAGTCTTTCACATTAAATAACAACAACAACAAAAGTGAGCAAGTCTGTGTAAGTTCGAAGTCAGCTGACAGCAGGTTAACTGGTGGATGGAGCAAGCAGCTCCCTTTGGAGTGAACACAGCGACATTGCGCTGTGAAGGGTTAGCGCAAAGCATGAGCGTCGACCGGAAAACCTACACACCCACGGGAGAACGCGGCTGCACTGAGAAGGTGCCATGGGTTCCGGGAATACACCAGGGTCGGGAGAGCCCGTGCCCAGTTTGTGCCAGGTGGACGATGCCATGGCCCCTGGAGGGCTGTCCACACTGCTGCCTTGGTTAACCATTTCTAACACGAACTCATCCACACCGCCCACTCCCTGTGGCTCCCTGTCCCACCGTGTCTGATTCTGCCCAAAACAAGATCTTATTGGCACAAAGCTGCACATTTTCTGTGATAGATCCTTCATCACTACAGACAATAAAACACTTCTTGGAGAACCCAGTCTCGAGGCACATCCTGGTGGCTTCTGGACCGAGATGGAGGGCCTCCTTGTTTGCCAGTCTGCAAACATCACCCTGAACTTGCTGCTCTGTGTCTCAGGTCCTCCTTCAGGCTGAGCTGGTACAGCAAAAAGTATGGGCGGAAATAAACCACGAGAGACTGGTCTGGGGCTGGCAGTGTGGTGCAGTGTATTAAGCCGCCACCTGCCACGCCACCATCCCATATGGGCGCTGGTTTGTGTCCCAGCCATTTTACTTCCAATCCAGCTCCTGCTCAAGATCTGGAGAAGCAATGAAAGACGGCCCATGTGCTTGGGTCCCTGCACCGTGGGGGCGACCTGGATGGAGTTCCTGGCTCCTGGCTTTGGACGTTAGGACCACTTGGGGGAACAGCCAAAGGACACCATATGACATAGGGACAAGAGTCATCGTGGAGATTTAACCATAGCTAATGCCAAGATACCAAATAACCTCTCTATCCACCGAGCAAGATGAGCCAGCCGATCGGCAACCTGAGGACGCTGGCGGCAGTGTGCTGGAGTTCCTCGCCCCCCATCCTTCACAGACCAAGCAGGCAGACACACAAACAGGAAGCGAGAGAGCCAAGTGAGCCACGCGGATACTATGCAGTCACCTCCAAAGGCTTTCGAGAACATACAAACACAAAATGACTCCCAGGCCACCAAATCCCGTTCCAAAACATGCAAGTCATGCGGCTAACCTCGGGGGCCAATGCCCAGCCCCCCTCACCTCTGGCCTGCTCAGCAGCAATGGCTCAAGTCATCCCTCCCCCAACACCTGACACAGTCCAGCCGTCTTCGCTGGCGGTCAGCCTGTTGCCTGTGCTGCCCGGGTCTCCTGCCGGTCCCCGCCCGCCTCCCCAGCCGCCTGTCCTGCCCGCCTCCCCAGCCGCCTCTCCGCTCCTGCCGAGGACCGAACCAGCATCCCAGACTCTCCCTCCCATTTGGCCTCCTGTGCTAGAGATTGAGTGATTCAAACTTTACGTTCCCTAAGCTCAAATCCCAATCTTCTCAAACCAGCTTTTCCCGGTGCTTCCGCCACTTTCCTGCCTTCACTATGTACAATCGCTACCCAGCCAGTTGGAACCTGGGAGTCCTCTTTGGCCGACCCCCACCCCAACTCCCCACCTCACATCCCATATCCGATGTATCTGCGAACCCCGTTGGCCTCACTTTGGGGTATACCATACATCATGCCCATCCCACGAGCTCCACTGTTCCCACCACGGCCCAGGCTGGCGGACTCATGAGTGGCAGTGCAGAACGAGGCTCTGGGTGGCTTCGCACAGTGGGAGAGACCGCCAGCGCCGTGACCCAGCCCCCGGATCCCTAGCTCCAGGCTTGGGTGGCTTCGCACAGCGGGAGAGACCGCCAGTGCTGTGACCCAGCCCCCGGACCCCTTGCTCTCCTTCCTGAGGCAGGGGTGGGGAGGCTGCTGCTGGGATTTGTGGCTTCAATGTCGTCCACCTCTGAGGTCCTTGGAGACTTGAACTTGTACCTGCCTCCAGACCCCACCCAGGGCAGGCTCTGAGCTTCCCCGGGAACCCGTCCCTCCCTCTGTCCCAGAGCGTCCCCCTCAAGTCTGGGTCCTCCTGACAGCCAACCTCACCCCTTCCGGGTACCTGTTTTCTTCTGTTCTCAGGCTCACAACAGTTACTCCCGCTCCCACTTCCCTGTGGTGGACGCTTGGTCCCATCGCGGCTGTTGTTGAGTCGACACCCGCCACCACCCCCCCCGCCCCCCTGGCCGGCCACTCAGCAACTCACACCCCACCTGGAGGTGCTGTGGGCCTGCAGGTCTGAGCTCCTCAAGTGGACCCTTCCTGGATGGGCAAACTCCCTGCCCCGTGGCCCCGCTGCAGCCTAGGAGCCTTGGGCTTGCTCCGCGGATTCTTAGAATCGGCCGATGAAGATGATGTCTGCTCTGCTTCGGGGACAGCCACAGCGCAGCCATGCAGGGAGCCCGTGGACGCAGGCGGCTCTCCCTGCGGATGAAAGGTGGCATATCTTCTCTAACCAGGCTGGGGCGGGGCGGACAGCTCAAGCCAGCTGCACGCGGGTCCTACTCGGAGAGCCCCACCAGGAGCAGTGGCCCCTGCTGGGTCAGTGCCCAGTGTCTGGGATGGGCTTGGCTCCTGCAAGTTACCAAAGGGGACCTCGAGGCCCAGCAGAGCCAGGTCAGCTGGCGGTGGAGCTGGGGCCCAGCCCATGTTGCTGCCCAGGCCACATGGGCACCTTTCTCATACAGGCCGTGGGCATGGCAGGTGGGGATGGGGAGGCTGGCTGGGCACTGCCAGGTGGCCTTGGCAGTGAGAGAGTTGCTGAGGCTGGCATCCGGCAGCAGCAAGGTCCACAGCTGGCCCTGTGGGCGCAGGCAGACGTGTGTGCCTAATTGGGAAGATAAGAGAGCATGTGGCAATTTGAACCATAATGAAGCTTCCAGAAGTGTCAGCCTGGGGACAGGCTTGCTGGGGACGACACAACATGACTAATGACCTGCTGAGCCACCGCACAGCAGTTCCCAGCTCTGCACTGGACGCCAGGCGATTTCCCATCTAAGCCCCGTGGGCAGGCGCAGGTGGGCGGCTCCAGAGCAGCAGTGGGGAAGGTCCTGAGGCCAGAGAGCATTCTGCTACCCTGAGGCCCAATCACGGAAAAAACAGCTGTTGGCGGGTGAGGTGCATGGGAAGGGCAGCGCCAGGCTCCCGTGGCACCCCAGGCACAGAGCCGCCCCTCCCCCAGCCTGGCAGGGCGGAGCGGAAAAGCCCACATGTGACCCAGAGGGAAACCCCAGCCCTGCAGGTGCAGGCTGCAGGTGTCTGGTGGGAACACCCATCTCTGCAAACATTCTCAAACCTTGTGGAATGTCCAGGGCATTCCGGAAGAGGACAACTCACTCTGAAGGGAGTGGGAAATGGTGCCAGACCCTCGCCACCCTTCCTGGTGAGAGAAAGGGGACGAGGGACACTTGCTCTGTTGAAAAACAAAAATGTTTCTGTGCACTCTTTGGAGCCTCTCATGTCTGACACCCCAATTGACACCTGTGCCCACAGAGGCCGTGAGGGCCTCGGGGACAAGGGACTCGCCTGTGCAAGGAGGTCATGGAGAAGCGAGGTCACCACGGCCTGGGCCAGCACAGGAAAGGACCGGGCCAAGGGCCTCTGGAGGAACCGGGCAAGGGCGCACCGTCACCCTGGGAGGAGCCGGCACTGCTGTGTGCAGTGAGGTATTCCTGAGACCCAGAGCAGAATGCTGGAGCAAGGATTCCTGCCTTTCCCAGCACTGGGGCTGGCACACCTGTCCCTGTAGCCACAGGACACTAACAAGGCACCGGCCAGCACCAGGCCCAGGTGGTCACTGCAGGACTTGCGTGCGAACATGCAAGGGGGCTTCATCACAACCCCAAAGGGGGCACAATCCAGGGGACTGCATGGAAGCCCAGCGCGGCATCCACACAGTGGAGTACTACACACCCATTCAAAAGGAGAAGGCCCTGATCCCTGAAGAAAGCGGAGCTATGA